CTTTTTAAAATTAAAATAATAATAATATTAACATTTATGTGTTGTTTTTTCTAAATACAATTCAAAGCTTTTAAGTTCTTAAAATTTAGGTTCGAGCTTGAGTTTGAGCTCATTAACACTCGACTCAGCTCATTTATAACCTTAAGTATATATTCAAATACTTTCAACTATTTGATAATGAACACTTATACCTTTGCATATGTGGTGCTCGAACTCGATACCTCAAGGGATAACAACAAATTTTTTAACTACTGAGATCACTTTATTTGTATATGAAAAATAAATAAATAGATATTCAATCTTAAATTTAACTACCGAAATTTTAATAAATTTTACCTACTTCACTCAATTTATACACCAAATAGTACACACGTCCAGTCAATTTGTTTATTTATTGAAAATATTTATAACATTCATTATGATTTTTAGAATCATGCCGGTTAATTGAACTGAAAAATTAATAATTTAGTTGAGTGAATTGGTGAAGTAAAAAAACTTGTATAAACTGTTGTGAATAGTTAGTTAAAGAACCAACAACTCATGTGAAAAAAAAATTACGGTTCAATTGGTTGAATTTATTTATATTTTTTAGATTTATATAATAAATCAATTTTATCAAATTAATCAATAATCAAATAAAATTTTAAATAAAATAATATTTAGCTAGATCTTTATCTATAACTCTATAATCAAATTTAAAATTAAAAAATATCTCACTTGAATCATTATTTATAATGAATTTATAAGTAATAAATTATTTGAAATAATATTTTAAATAAAAATTTACATGGATATTATTTAATTTGATACGAGTTATATAAGTCTAATTTTAATTTAATTTCTAGTAAGTAAGTCAATGGTTCAAGTTCAACTACTTGACGGTATAATCGGCTCATCACCCATCCGGTTTATGCAATATTAATTAGGATTTTTAGATATATATATATATATATATATATATATATATAATGATTCATTTATTATTTATAAGAAATTGAAAACCATACAAAATAAATTATTTTTTAAAATATTAACAAAATACGTTTCAATTAATTAGGATTGAACACGTTGGTTGAGTTGACGAGTCATTGCGTTGTGTGACCGACTCGTGACTGAATAGGAAAGCGAGACCCACGTCGGCGTATCTGTAAAAAATCAAAGCAGAGGCAGAGAATTTACCCTCAGGTAAATAAGATCGCACTTCTGTACTGGGTAGTACTACCACTCACTGAACACAACTTTACTTTTAACAGCGCACCACACGCTTTATATATATATATTAATATTTATATTTATATTTATATTTATATTTATATTTATATTTATATTTACATGAATCTATTTGAAGTAAGGCCCTCCAACGTACTCAAGCCGGTAGAGGTAAAGAAGATAAAGGATAAATTCTAAAATTGATCACTTATATTATCTATTTATTATATTTTAATCATTAAATTATTAATTTTTATAATCGCAATTGAGTTGTCACGTTAAAAGATTGTTAATTGTTAATTTTTAATTTAATATTTATATTTTAGAAAAAAATATTAATTTAATTCTGAAAGTTATAAAGTTTCTAAGTTACGCAAAAAGTTATTAAAACTTTGCAACAACATCCCACACCTAACACCCATAATCCACTCGATCGACGTTTATTTCACAACGCCGCCAACACAGTGGCATATTCGGGCCACCCGAATTCCCCACTATCTCTATGCCATCTATCATCACTTATCTCCATCGTTCAATCACCTTCATTCAATTACCATGAACCCCTACACTTATGGTCTTCATCTTTACCTTAATTAAACTTGCAAAACCTCATCCCACTGTTATCATTCCAGCTGTAGCATATCATTATCAATCTTCAATACAACAATCTGACTTTTACGAGACGAGATGAAGATCTGAAAGGAAATGAGAGACGATGAATCATGGTTAGAAAGACACTAATATGAAGGCGATCTCGGGGATTTGATGTTGGAGACAGTGTGAAAGTTTTGAAAAAACCTAGGAAAAGTCCAGTCCATTTAAATTATTTTTTTAAAAATTATAAATTAAAGAAGGTGTTGGGTGGTCCCCACCCTTAGATTTGGTTGGGACTCCCAAATCTCCTAATTCTCTTTCTGATCTCATGTCGTCTTGTTGGATTCTGCTTCTCACTTCCCATTTCTTTCCTTCCACTTGGTTACGATCCAAATTTAACTTTAAATAGATTAAATTTGATAATTTCGATTGAATAATAGAGTTCAAAATGTTATATAAGGTGCAATAGGAATTATTTTCTGAATTATTTTTTTATAATAGTGGGTGAAAGTTGTTAACTTATTCGATTTTTAAAAGTCGTCATGATTATATCATGATTTATGTTTTAAATCATATTTTTATGTGTCGTCTGTGTAGGAAAATTATATAATCCTGGTAACTTCTATTAATTATTATAATATATACTCTAATTTAAAAAATAATTTATGCTATACCTTATATAATTTTTTTTTCTTATTTCATTATTCAAATATTTTTATCCATTTAGTTGATTTAATATTTTTACTTATAATATTTTATACGTTGTAAAAGTAATATATAAGTGCTAATTTTTTATATTAATAATTATTTACTTTATATCATAATTAATAACAATGGTTTGTAGAAAAGAAAATCATTACTAAAACTCACCTTTAATAAAGAAAAATAGTGAAAATGTCCAAATAATGCAGTTGAATAAAGGTTTTTTTTTAGTGTGTAATGTAATTTAGACTTGATTTTTTTTATAATTACGGTGGTATCTATAATGTTTGAGGAAGACGTTAGAATTGTATGGTGACTTATGGGAAGATGCCCGAATGACATGATGTTGAATTGTATGGTGATGTCGTTTGTTGGTGTCCTTGAGTTGGTCGGATACTTTAGACGTTTTCATAAGTACAATGAAGATGGTGAACTAACCCGAGCCATTGTTGGAGAAGAAGGCGTGAGAGCTAGCAGGCACCATTAATGAAGCTTGAGAAAATAAATAAGATAAGCACGAGAGCAAATAAGAGAAGACAATGTGTCTTTCGTGTATCTTCCCAAAAACGTTAAGTGATTCATGTAATTTTCTATTAGTATTTTAGCATACACTCTATTCGGGGGGGGGGGAATTCTCCAACACCTTATGTAAACAAGTTAATTAAATAAGAGAAGACAATGTGTCTTTCGTGTATCTTCCCAAAAACGTTAAGTGATTCATGTAATTTTCTATTAGTATTTTAGCATACACTCTATTCGGGTGGGGGGGGGGGGAAATTCTCCAACACCTTATGTAAACAAGTTAATTTTCCCACTATATTATCCCTTTAAATTTATCAAAAAGAAAATTATTAACCAAGCATACTTTTTTTATGACAAGTAAAATGCATGTCAAGTAAAAGTTTTGAGTCATCATTTATACTAAAATGATTTAATGGTATTAGTATACAAGTTTTATTTTATTAAAATATAAAAAATTAAATGATGTAATTATAACAACTTAAAAATTACGACTTCATCCTGATTTCATTCAAAGGAAAATCTCTAACAAGATTTCATTATCTCATTACTTTGAATTTCATTTTAAATTATGCACCAATGAACACACGCTTCCTAAAGACCAATCATCCACAGTCCGCACACATCACCCTGAACGGGCACGCGTATCTTTCAAAGATCGGAATCCACGACGAAATGAGAAACGAAAAGGGAAAATCAAATTAACCATGAGGTGGCACGTGCGAGGCAGCCCATGGGATTAGGGAAATGAAACCCTTACCGGAATTAGTAAAAACTAGTGTTTCCCCATTGCTGTCTGCCTTTTTACTAACACAGTTAAAAGTGAAAGACAATAACTTTTATTTTTACAGGTTTATTACATTTAAAAATAGATAAATATAGGTGTGAAAAAAATATTTAGAGATTTAAAACAAATTTTATAGTAATTATTAAAGTCCTCTTTATATGTTAGTAAAAATGAATTGGATCTAAAATTATTGATAATTGTCAGTTAAGAAGGAATAGAGGAAGTCAAGGGGCGATCGAAGAAGTTTAAAATTGACTGTCACTTAAATTTTTATATAATTTAATTATTTTTATTAATAATTTAACTTTATTATCAGACATAAAATCACGTGTCTGTTATTTTTTTCATTGATATTACTGACAACTCTGATTTGGTTTATCTTTTGTATTGCATGGATTAAAATTGAAAAATAAATAAATTATAAGGGTCAAAATAAAAAAATTTAGATTTGATATCTGCCCATATATGCTTTACTCCACAATAGTATAATCCGACTAAAATTTTAAAATAATACCCTTTTTAATATTTGTTAATCAAAATGAGATAAAAATTACTTAACAAAATAACATTCATTTTTATTACATACGATGAAAATACACTTAAGTGACAGTGTCTTTTAAAAGACTTTTCTTTAAGAAAGTATATTTATTTATGTGATAAGTCAATAATCAATGCTGATATCATCTAATACATGCCATTTAAACAAGGAAAAACCTTTTAAAAGATGTCACGTATTCATCTTAAGAGACAAAAATAGATACTAGTTTTAATTCTATTTTTATAAATAAATATTAAAAAGATATTATTTTAATGAATTAGCCAGAGTTCATCTTAAATTCTTAAGTATTTTTCTTACATCACTATTTCTTTAGTTTTTTTTCACAAATGCAATAAATCTATATAAAAAAAAGCTGTTTCACGGTGTCGACGATTGGAGACCCGGCGGTGTCCACCATTGACCTCCGGTCAACTTCCATATCCCGACCATTTACACGTATCCCGCGACAAATGACTAATTTCTCTCTTTCCCACGAGAAAATGTTCGAGATAGAAGACACCAAAGTGGAACCACTGAAAGCCTTTGTATTAAAGAAAAGTAGATTTCGGAGATTTGTTAGAGAGAGAAGAAAATAAAAACAAATAGTAAGTAATAAAATAAAATAAATTAAATGAAAATGAGGCGGGGAAAGAGAGAGAGACAGATAGGCTTTGGTTTGTATGTCACAGCGTATAAATTAAAGCAAGGCCACATATCCAAGGGAAACTCTATTTTTTTCTTCTTCCCTTCATAATTTCTGGGTTTACTTTGAGATGGCGAGCAACGGCGGCGTTACGTGGCGGAGGACTGAAGAAGTTCATGTTCTTGCCGTTGATGATAGTCTAGTTGATCGGAAAGTCATTGAAAGGTTGCTCAGAATATCCTCTTGCAAAGGTGGGTCATCGTGATTTCATAGTTTCTTGAATTTTCCCTTCAAAAATTGTTTGGTTTCCTCATTCAGCCTGGGTTTGTCGATGCAGTGACTGCAGTGGATAGTGGAATCAGAGCTTTGCAGTTCTTGGGATTAGATGAAGAGAAAAACAGTAATGCTCTTAATGTAAGTCTAAGTTGATCTTCTTCTTCCTTGGAAATTAGGATTTCCCTACATGATTCTTCCATCTGACTCTCAGCTTTATCTGTGATTTGACTAGGATTTGAAAGTTGATCTTATCATCACCGATTATTGTATGCCGGAGATGACGGGCTATGAATTACTCAAGAAAGTGAAGGAATCCTCTGCTTTTAGAGAAATCCCAGTTGTAATAATGTCATCCGAGAACGTTTTAGCTCGAATCGACAGGTATTTTAGGGAATTCCTAGTTGTTTTCAGAGTTCATACGAGTCCAAAGTAATTTATGGGTTTTTTCCTGGAAATTTCATGAACAGATGCTTGGAAGAAGGAGCAGAGGATTTCATAGTAAAGCCGGTGAAATTATCAGATGTTAAACGTATAAAAGATTACATGACCAGAGAAGGAGAAACAGAAAGATCAAGAAAAGGAATCAACAAGAGAAAGCTAAGAGACAGCTTTGATGATCTCTCCTCATCTCCACCGTCCATTCTATCATCGTCACCGATTTCATCTTCATCTTCATCATCATCATCATCATCTCCATCTCCATCACCAACGTCAGTCCAATCAGCATCAGCACCGAGTTCTCCATCACCGCTAGATTCTCCCACCAGACGTCTCAAGATGACAAACAAGCTCCGAATAGAACAAAAAGAGAAAAAGCTAATTTAATTTACTCACAAATTTTTTTAGAATTTCTCTTGCAATATCTCCGTTAACACTGTTTTTAACGGTTTTTGGTTGCGGTTTCACCACCTTCGATTATTTGCTTATATTTTTTTTAATTTTATATAATATAATGTAATGAATTCACTTGCGAATCCCTCCTAATTCTGATTATTGATTAAAGTAATTATAATCTGAGATGGAGAAGACAGATGCGAATTTGGAAATAATAATGTAAGAAGAGGATACGATATGATCTTGTCGTCGAGCAGGGAATATTTGGAAGAAGATTGGACAGTGGGGGCGTGGGTGAGTGTTTCTTGTGCTAGGCGTGACGGAACTGCCACTCTTGTCTCTCTGTCTTTACCAACTTCATGTCATCTAAGTCAAGTCTACAAATTTTGTGTTTTTTCTTTCTTTCAAAGAATTAAGTATCTCACAACGAATTTAATTATCCTTGTAATAAAAGAATTATTATTATTTTTTAAAATTTTAAGTTTAAATCTTACGAATACAAAGATATGTGATTGTTCATTATTAATTCTTTTTTTAAAATTTTCAAAATAGAAAATAAAAAGATGTATGATTTTCCATTATTAAATAATTAAGAATATTTAGATACAATCTTATATTTATATCAGATTAATAATAATAATAATAATAATAATAATAATAATAATAATAATAAAGAATGGTAAAGTGCACAAATGCTCTTCGATTATAGGGTGATGGTTGTTGAGTATTTCGATTATTAAAAGTTATAAAATAGTCATTCGACTATAAGACACTATTTTGTTGAGTCTTTTGATTATTAAAAGTTACAAAATGATAATCCGATTATTGATATGTACCAAACTTATCATTTTTTATTAAAAATTGGTAGTCGTCTGAATTGTACATTAATATAGTGACTAATATATGATAAAATCATGTTTTAATAATATTTACTGCTTCTATTGTTACTTTTAAGCACTGACTCGACGGTATAATCTTTCAAGTATTAACTCGATAATATAATATAAATGGAGAGTCATTCCATAAAGTACAATTCAAACGATTTTAGGATAATATTTTACCATATCCCAGTCAAAATGTTAATCTCCAACTCAGACGATCGTAAAATTATTTAACGAAAAATGACGAGTTTGGAACATATAAATAATCAGGTGATCCTTTTGTAATTTTTAATAATCGTAAAATTTAACAAAATAATACATTATAGTCGGAAGATTATTTATATACTTTACCCCGAAAAGAATGATGGATCCCATTCAAATAAATTAACACAAGGACACAGGATTTTCTAAAGCAACATGTCAATAGCAGCCTAGAAAGATAATAAAAACATTAGAAAACGAAATATAAAAGAATTATCGATAAAAAAAATGTAAGAATCTTTCACGTATGAGATTGAGGACCGGAGGCATGTAGTCGTTTTGTAGGAACAAAAAAATCTCTCATGAGTCACGAATTAATATACATTGGTGGATCGGGAAATCGTGTCATCAAAGGCCCATCAGCTACTGTTATCATCGCTTGTCGAAAATTAAAAGAGGAAAAGAAAAACGAAAATGGTGACGATAACGAAATAGACCCTTCTCTGAAGCATTATTTTTGCCTTTGTTAGTAGGAAGAAGACAATCCCACCACTCAAAAAGATCGTTGAGAGAAAATCTAGACGAACGAATTTAAAGTCCTCTTTAAATTAGATAAATAAAATCAACAGGAAGAGAAGGATGAGAGAGGACGAATCGTGTACGATGAGATCATGATAGTCGAAAAAAACTTTTAAAGATTAAAATAAAAGAGAAGAAATAAAATAATTCTCAAGCTTCAAAATATACGTTCGAGTTTCTTGCAATTATTAAACCTCAAAAGATGTTTTAAAAAAAAAGGAGAGAGTGTTTTAAAAAATAATAATTAAGGAAGGGTCCAATTTTAGGATAAGTATTTAAACTTGGGAGTTGAGAAAAGAATGGCATTAGTGGGCATATCTGCCGTGCAACCATTGGGCAAAGCTGATACTCGAAAGATCTTTGGACCCTACGTTTTACACATGACTTCGATTCTTCATACAACCACTTTGCTTTAGCGTTACAATGGTCAATGGTAAATGAACCATAAAAGGAAAAGACTAAACTAAGCTATAATATAAACTAAAAAACTATAATTATAATTATAAACTAAACTATAATATAATATTTTTATAATCATTAATATAAGAAAGTAACCACTTAAATCTCACAAGGAAAAGACTAAAAAACTTAATCAAATAAACTCGAACAGATCGCATTGGTAAATGAACCATAAAAGGAGATCAAACTATTAAAAGATCATTGACAACCCGTTAATCAGAGTCGAGCGAATGAGAAAACTATCTACGAAAACAATACAAATTTAATCCGATGGTCCAAAACAGGGAAGATCATAATAATAACAAATAAGTGTCATTTCGATCAATCGTGACAATATCAAATCTAACTATGATAAAAAAAAAGAACATTCAAACGGTCGAAAACGAGTTAAAAGAGAAAAAAAAAGTGTCATAAATACAAAGTTATCATAATTTAGAAGAAAACAAAAGAAAAACCAAAGATGTGATATAAGAAAATAAAGAGAAAATAAGAAATATAAATGACGATAATTAATATCAAGGTTGGTATCTTATTTTGAAAAATAAGAAATTAATTTTATTTTTTATTCATGAAAATAATTAAAATCAATTATGTAACATACTAATTGTCGTAACCGGTTTCGTCCGAGCACGAAATTTTTGCTTCGGTGGGAAAAATAATGTGGATAAAAAATGATTTTAATTTAAAAAATGTTTTGGGAGTCGTCATCGGCCTTTTGGATCAGGTAGGTCGAATATCTAAAAATTATCTTTTAAAAGAGTTTTTAGGAAGAAAAAAACATCAGTTAAAAGATAAGCTGGTCAGCGTTTATAATCAAAAATTCATTCTTTTTATTAATAAAAAGGGATTCGTGGTCGATTACGTTTGGGGAATGATTAGCACCCCCACAACGCCCAAAATTGGTACTTATTAATTATAAGTTGTCTCTATTATTAGAAATTTAAAAATTCAAAGATATATTTAATTTATAATTATGTTATTTTCAAATTTATAATTTTACAAAAAATATATTAATATATAAATATAAGAGATATTTACTCATTTAGAAATATCAGAAAAGGGCTTCTAGGTGCTTTAAGACAGCTCTTTTCTTCGATATTAAAAAATAAATAAATACTAATAAAACATTTTTCTAAAAATAATTAAAATAAATTAATATATAATTTATAAAAATAGGATATTTATTTATTTAGGAATATCAGAAAAGCTCATCTAGGTGCTTTAAGACATCTCTTTTCTTCGATATTAAAAAATAAATAAATATCAAAATATGATTATTTTTCTTAAAATTAATTTATAAAATTAAATTTATAAATAGGATTTTTATTTTAAAAACAAATAAAAATAAACAAATATTATTTATTATATATATTTATATGACTAAATAATAATACTAATAAATATATTTAAAAATAAACATATAAAATTAAAATAAGTAATGACTGAAATAAATAAAATTAAAACTAGGGTATTAAAATATAAAAAACAATAAACTAAAATTAGGTATTAAATTATAACTTGTTAAAATTAAATGGTCTAATTCAAAATGTCATAAATCTAAGTGCTAAAAGTGCAATTTGTCCTTAATTAGTTATTCAGGACTAAAATATAATTAATTAAAATGATAAGGGACTAAATCAGTTATTTACCTTAATATATATAAACTCTGATAATGACTAAATTATAAATTAAACAAAATTCGAAGACTAAATTAAACTAATCAAAAATTGCTTTCAGTGACTAAAATGCAAAGTTACATACTTGGAGTGATTGCGGGTATAGTTTACCCACACAGGAAATTACACAAATACCCTCCCCTAAAGCGGCATCGTTTGGGAGAGGGTTTTTAAACCCCTAAATGGCTGACCCTTCGAGTCAGCCTCTCATTTTCTCCCTTTCTCTTTACTCTCTAAAAACGAGAGAATAAATTCTCTCGCCTCTCTCTTGCTTCCCTCACCAAAGGGAACTCCGACAGCTGCCGACCACCATACCCTGGCGTTAGTCGCTTCCGCCGGCCACCGCTCACGGTGGCCGGAACTATACAATCTTATACCAAAAGGGAGTGCTAAACACCCCCCAATATCGAATCCAACCTTATTTTTCCCTAAAAAGCTTCTAATCGGAGCAGATCTACAAGAATACCTTCGTGTTTTGGTGGTTTCAGGCGACGTTTGCTCTCCTCCATGGTAAGTTTCTTTTACCCTTTTCTTCTTCCCTCGATTTGTTGTTAACTGAGATCGTTGGTAGTTTGCTGTTGTTGTTGGTGTTGTTGTGTTCTGCTCTATGTTTTTCTTCGTAGCTGTCTGTTTTTCTCCGTTGTTGTTCGTATCTCTCTCCGTCCTCGTTGGTTGCTTCCTCTCTTTCTGTCTCTCTTTTTTTTTCTTTGCAGGGGATGGTGGCTTTTATAGCCACCACTGGTGATGGCTTCAGACTGGTCCCAAATGGCGACCATAGGTGAGTTACCATAGCTATGGTGGTGACTCACCATAGAGCCCGTTGTGTGGAGGGGAAGCTGGCCTTCTGAAAAGCAGCGAGGCTTGAGGCATGGAACAGCAGCGTCGGCAAAGGCGACTGGAAGCATCTGGAGGCGGCAGCTGGGGTCTTCTGGAAGCAGCGGCGGCTGGGACGTGGCCCTAGGGTTATGATACCCTAGGGTTTCCTTGTTGGGACCATCTGGGCCGTTGGATCAAAACTAGATCCAACGGTAGTAAGTTGAGGTGACTGGATGATGATATATAAACCCTAACTGAATCTAGGGTTACACATTTGGGCTTTGTTGGGCTAGTTCAAGTTGGGTCACTGTTGGGCCATCTGAATTGGGTTTGTCCTGATCGGGCCTCCATGTTTGGGCTCTGAGATTTGTAAAACGGGCCTCAGGTTTGGGTCTGAAATGTAAATAAAATTATGTATTATTTAATAATAATAATATAACATAATAATAATAAATAATATAAGCAAATAAGAAAAAAACTAGT